AAGGAGAGAAGAGGCCAGGAAATCCTGTCCACCGCACCTCCCACTGTCTCCTGCCCCTTCACAGCCCCAGCCCTCTCCGGGGCCCACCCCTGCCCTTGGCGACATCTCTGAGGGGCGCCCTCCCCCAGTCGGCCCAGAGATCCTTCCGTCGCCCCAAATCTGAGCCTCTAGCCTGCTGCTGACCCCACTGCTCCAAAGAGAGCCCCAGCCGGGCTCAGGAACGACCACGCTCAGGCCGCAGCTGCCCCTCCGCCCCTGTGCCCCGGCCCCACCGCACTCTGCCCATCCCTCCAAGCCTGCTGTCCATTACCGCAGTGACTCACCCCAAGAGCCCCCTCCTCAGCCCTCCCTGATACCCTGACCAGGAACGAGCCCCTCTCCCCTCAACGCCTCCCACAAGGGACCTGCCAGGCTGTGTCACAGCCCGTCTGTCACACCCCCACCCTGAGGCGGGCAGGGCTGTTCCCGGGTGAAGTCAGCCGTGCATGAGCACTTGGCCTCCGGGTGCGCGTGTCCGACTGTTTCGCCCTCTCCCAGGCCCCTCCTCTCTCCCACTGAGCCGCACGGCTCCTGCCTGCTGGGGGAGGGCCCAGCCTTCCGGTGCTTAGCGTGGCCGACCCTGCACCCTCTGCCGTGGCGCCCATCGGCAGGGTGGGGCCCCCAGGGCTGCAGGCAGCGGCCCCGGTGATGCCAAGCAGCCGGCTCCTGTGGGAAGGGCCCTGCTGGGACACGCCGGGCAGCAGGCAGGCGTGAGCTCATCTGCAGGCACAGAGCCTCCAAACAAGGAGCCTCGCCCTCCTGCTCCAGATGCTGCTGTCAGCACTCCTGCCCTCCACCCTCTCCCCTCGCCCCTCCCTGCCCTCCTGGGGCCGGGCTGTCGGGCAGGTCGCGCCCTCTCCAGGTCTCACCTCTCAGTGGCCAGTTTGGTGGCGTGGAAAGGCCCAGGGCCAGGCTCAGCTCTGCCCACACCTCCAGCCTCCTCTTGCCTCAAGCAACACATTCAAGCTGTGCCCTACCTTGTGGGGTCTGGGATCTGCGGCGCCTCAATTCCAGGAGGAATGGGAATTCTCCAGGGAAGGCCCGCACTCAGGCCGAGCTGTCCCTCCGGCCCCTGAGCACTCCCAGGAGCCTGGGGCGGAGGCCACGCGGGCGGGCGGCAGGGCATGCTGGTGGCCAGCGGAGGTGTCCCAGGCCAGGGGCTGCGACAGCTCTCCCTCTGGGACCTGACCTTCGCCAGCCTCAGGCCCAGCCCACTCCCCAGCCTTCGCTCCTGTGTCTCCCTCCCCCGCTCTCCCTTGTCTTCCCTTCTCTGTTAATGGCAGATGGTGCAGAAGCCTCCCTTGTACGCTGCTTGGGTCTGGGCAGTCTAGGGATCCTTGGAGATGCAGAGCTCCCCCTCCCCCCAGACCTGAGGGGCTCCCCTAAACTACGCTGCAGCCCAGGCGCACGCAGGGTCATCTTGTCAGCAGTGTGTGGGGGGTGGGGGGAGGCTTCCTGGAGGAGGAACGCCTTGAGCTGGGCCTTGGAAGATGGGGTATTCCAGGCAGAAGGAAAAACTCTGGCCTTGGGGTCCCCCTGGCAGCTGGGTGGCGGCTGAATCAGAAGAAACCCTAGCCCTGGCCAGTGTGGCTCAGCTGCTTGAGCGTCATCCTATGCCTAAAGGGGGGGGGGTTGATGCTCCCCCCACACACACTGCTGACAGGATGACTGCCCCTGCGTGCGCCTGGGCTGCAGCGTAGTTTAGGGGAGCCCCTCAGGTCTGGGGGGGAGGGGGAGCTCTGGATCTCCCAGGATCCCTAGACTGCCCAGACCCAGGCAGCGTACAAGGGAGGCCTCAGCACTATCTGCAAATAACAGAGAAGGAAGACAAGGGGCAGCAGGGCGCACACCCAGGCTGTGCTCAATCCCCAATGTCTGTCTGTCTGTCTGTCTGTCTCCCTTCCTCTCAATAAAAAACAGTAATAATAATAAGAAGAAACCCCAAAGGCAGCAAGAAGGCAGGGCCCCTCCAGGCTGAGCTGGGCAGGTGCTGAGGCTGCGGTTGGGCTTCGGGAGCCTGTGTGTGTGTGTGTGTGTGGGGGGGGGGGTCCCTGGTGCCTGCCTGCAACTTGAAGAGGGCAGGGCCCCTGCCTGCCAGGCTGAGGGTTAATTAGCCTTCATCGAGGGGGCACCTCCTTCTTCCCCCTCCCTCTCCCCCTGAGGCCCAGGAAGGAAAAGGGAGGCAGGCAGGCAGGCGGACCCACCCCAGCGCACACAGAACCACGGTCACGCCTGCTGTGCAGGCTCCGGGAGGTCTCATCCACCCCCCACCTCCCCCACCTCTCCCGGTTAGGGGTGAGGGGCACTCAGCTGACATAGGGTGCTCAGCCAGGGAGGAGTAGATGGAACAACCTGTCCCTTTAGCTGAGCTGCACGCCCTTCAGGCTCCAGGCTCCTCCTCCTGGAAGCCCTCCTAGATTGATGCTTCCTCTGGGCTCCCTGAGCCCAGCCCTTAGCACAGGTGACAGGGTGACAGGCTCATCTGCTTTTTTGCTCAATTCTGATCAGGGCAGTGACCAGGGCCCGCTCATTATAGAGTCTGGGTTCCTAGCACAGCGCCCCCTCACTGGGGGGGGTGGGGGGGGGGCTCCTAGCACAGTGCCCCTGTGCTCCGGGGAGCTCTTGTTGAAGAGCTTGTGGAATGAACAGGTGAAGTGTGGCTGCGTGGAGGGGCCTCGCATGGATGGGAGCTGGTGCGGGTGGCGGGGAGGGCTCCTCGGCTGGGGCAGGTTTGGGAGGGTTTGGAGTGGGCAGCCGGGGAGGGGAGGGGAGGGGGAGGAAGGGCTCCTGATGATGCCGCTGCTGCCGCAGGCTGGTCATCGTGGTGTTGATCGGCGTGAGCGTGGCCTGGATCCCGGTCCTGCAGGGTGCCAACAGCGGGCAGCTCTTCATCTACATGCAGTCGGTGACCAGCTCCCTGGCCCCCCCGGTGACCGCTGTCTTCATCCTGGGCGTCTTCTGGCAGCGAGCCAACGAGCAGGTGGGTGTGGAGGAGAGCTGGGTGGGGACAGGCCTGGGCCGGCTCCTCGGTCCCCTCTGGATGGGCTGCCCCTGGCTCGAATCGTCCCCTGGGCCTTTGTCCAGCAGCCCAGCTGTCCTGCCTCCCCCAGGGGGCCTTCTGGGGCCTGATGGTGGGGCTGGCGGTGGGCGCCACGAGGCTGGTCCTGGAGTTCCTGCACCCCGCCCTGCCCTGCGGCGCCGTGGACACTCGGCCTGCCGTCCTGGGCAGCATCCACTACCTGCACTTCGCCATTGCCCTCTTCGCACTCAGCGGGGCCGTGGTGGTGGCCGGAAGCCTGCTGACGCCCCCACCCCCAGGGGCTCAGGTAAGCTGCCCTGACCCCGGGCTCTGACCCTTACCAACCTCTGACTCAGGTCCCAATTCTCTGACTCAAGAATTTTCTAGCTCTTGACATAGCCCTGGCCCCTGGCCCTTTTTGAACTTAGCTGCCCTCTGCTGCCCTCTTTCATCACTGACCCCTGATCCTGTCTGGGTCCACCTCCCAGCCCGCACCCCTCCCCGTCCTGCCACCCTACCCCTCCCATTCCCTGCAGATCCAGAACCTTACCTGGTGGACTCTAGGGAGGGACCTGCCCCCAGGAGCCAAAACAGGTACGCACGTGACCCTGGGCATCCCTCTCACACCATCCCCGGGGCTGGGCCACGGAGCACAGGGCCCTGGGGGTGGCCCTGAGGTCCTCAGCATCCCTCTCTTCCCACCCAGCTGGCAGCCGGAAACAGGCTTTCTGGGCCCGGGTCTGTGGCCTCAACGCCATCCTCCTCATGTGCGTCAACATCTTCTTCTACGCCTACTTCGCCTGATGTGGCCCGGCCCTGAGGCCGCCCCTGTCCCTCATGAGGACACCAGCCCTCGAGGCTGCCCGGCCAGCAAGGCGGGAGCCTGAAAAATTAGGGAGGGAATGGGCGAAAAGAATGTGACACTTCAAAAGTGGCATCATGATGGGCAATAAAAGGCGATTTCAGAGGACATTCCTACGCTGTTACTGTCTTTATTTTGCGTCCGTGGGTCCAGGGCAGGAGCAGCGCAGTCCCCAGAGCTCAGGGTCCGGAGGGCCCCAGGCCCCCCTGGGCGGAGGGAGAGCGCCCCACTGTCTCATCTGCTCCCAGTGCCATAGGCCCCCTTCTCACTGCCCCCCACCCAGCCTGGCATTCCAGCTGCTTCCGAGTTCCCCTCTCTTCCTGCTCCCAAAGGTGCCCAGACTCGGGGCAGGCGCTGCCTACTGACCCCCTGCTGGGTGTGCGTTCCATTCTCAAACTGGGCCCTCCCCAGACTGCCCCCCATGCTGCTGGGCTTCAGAGTCCAGCCCAGGCCCAGCTCCCCTGGCCCGCAGGTCCTCCCGGCTCCCGGGGCCTGGCCAGAGCCGGGGCCTGAACCGAGCCTCCTCGGCGGCTGTGTCCAGGGCTCGGCCCCCAGGCCTTGTCCATTTTGAGGAGCAGCTGCCCCTTGCCTTCTCCACGGCGCCCTCAGGGCCCGGCCGCCCGGTGTCAGGGGCCCAGGTGGGCGCTGGAGAAGCTGATCTCCACCTGGATCTGTCCAGTGAGCCCAGGCCATCAGGTGGGCAGCGCCCTCGCCTTCCCTTCCCTCGAAGCCACCTCCCCAATAGCCAGACACCTCAGGGTCCTTTTGAGGGAGAGGCGGGCGAGCCCGGTGGGTGGGGCCACTGACGGTGGAGTGGGCTGAGCCTCTGTCAGCCCACCCTAGGGTGTCACAATGCTGGTGACCAGTGGGAAGAGGCTGCGGGAACCCCGGGAGCGCCCCTTGCCCAGCGGGCACTGCACTTGGTGTTGGCTGTGGACACGGGGCAGCCCTGGTTCATGTGGAGCAGAGGGCTGGGCTGGGCCGTCAGAGGCCGTGTCCCTACCGAGGCCTGGGCCGAGCCCCGGGGGCCCGGAGGGGCGTCCATGGTGTCTCTCTGGACTTCAGCGTCCTGTGGACAGATGGTCTGCTGGCTCGGCCCCAGCCCCACTCCGGTCAGAGGTGCACGGGCTGGACGTAGCTCCGGGGGAAGAAACCCACCTGCCCGCAGAACCGGCCTCGCCACCAGTGCGGGTCCAGGTGCTCCAGGACCTCGATGATGTCACCGCGGCGGAAGCTGAGCTGGGAGGGGTCCTGAGCCGAGAAGTCAAACTGGGCCTGGGCGAAGCCGGTCCGAGGCGGCTGCAAGCGGAGTGGGTGTTAGTGGGGCCTCGGAGGCCGGACAAGAGAGGGGATTTGCCGCCGGGTGGGAAGGGCAATGTTTTCGAGGCAGAATTGAGGTCAAGGTGATGGCCACCCACCCGCATGGGCCTCCTGCTACCCGCGCCCCACCCCACCCCCATGGCCGCCACACAGACACTGCCTCTCCTGAGAGCCCGCGCTGTCCTGGGCTCTGCTGGGACCGGGTCCTGGCCTCAGTGAGGGGCTGTGGCTCAGGCCCTGCCTGTTCGGGGTCTCGGTTCCCTGGCTGTGCCACGGCCGTGATAACTGGACTGCAGGCCCGAGACCACCAGGGCTGACACAGACCGTGGCGTGACGTGTGGCCACCGTCCACTGCTGTCGCCCTTGGCCAGGCTCTGGAGCGAAGGCGACACTTGGCGCTGCCCCAGCTCTCGGGCCTGGCTTCCAGTCCCAGCTGTGCCCCAAAGGGACCGTGGTTAAGTCCCTGCCCTTGTGGACTCAGTTTCCCCACCTTCGGACGGCGCTGGACTAGAGCTCTCAGCCCGACACCAGGACACCTCCTCCCAGCACCGGCTCTGCTGAGCAGGAGATAGGATCGGGCACCGGCTGTAATTAGCAGTTCTCTGCCCAGGAAGGAGGGGGCGGCCTGGGTCCCGAGAGACCGAGCCAGCTCTGGAATCTCCCCACAGGGTAGGCGATCCCAGGGCTGGGCCCAGGGAAGTGGTGGGCGTGGGGGAGCTCACAATGGGCCCCCAGTTCCATGCTGGCTCCCTCACACTCTTCAGGGTCAGAGCTGGCCCAGGCAGCGAGGGGAGGGATGAAGGTCTGGGGTACGGAGGCCCAGAGGAGGCTCACGGCTGATCTGACCCAGGTCAGGCTGCGGAGGCGGAGCCTCCCGGTGGGACAGGGGGGCCCGAGGGGGTGTAGGGGGGCGTGTCCGAGGCACTGCTGACGCCCTGGAATATCAGATCCCAGGGCACATCCTATGGGACAGAGGGGACACTGAGGCCCAGGGGAGGGATAACCTGGCCCTGAAGTCGTGCTGCACGAGGCAGCTGGGGCCCAGGGAGAGGCTGGACGGGCTTCCCTCAGCCTCCTCCCTCTGCAGAGCCCGGGCTGTCTCGGGGTCCTGCCTGGCCGATCCCCCTTCCAAGGAAAAGAGCACATGGGGAATAATAACCGCATTAGCAGGTGTCGTCATCCTAATGAGAGCTGGCCCTCGAGCCCTGATGAAAGGCTGGCTGGCAAATTGCTGTTCTTGCGAGGACACGGGGTGGCCAACCTCCCCCACACACACCGTGTCTGGCCAGGACCTCGCCCACGCTGCCCACACCCCACCCAAGGCCAGCGCCTCTGGGGCAGGAAGCAGGACTGAGCTACCGGCTGGTGGCCTGGGGTGAGTCCCTTCACTCTCCTTCCTCAGCGGGGACAGTGAAGCCCCCGTGCAGAGCCCAGTCCAGTACGTGGCACTCAGAAGGCTCAGTAGGTGTCAGTGCCTTCAGCCATTCAACATTTATTGAGCACCTACTGTGTGCCATGCACTACTGACAACAAGCCCGACTGTTTGCCCCAGGGAATAGCCAGTTGGTTCCTTCCTTTTCTCCCCCTCTCCTTCCCAGCCTTGCTTATTTCCCTGCAGCGACACCAGCATAGACCCTCACAGCATGGCCGGACCCCCTCCCACGCGGGGAGCTGGCGGGCCTGGACCCAGCAGGTGTCGTGGCCCCTGCACACAGCAGGGCGCCCGCCCGGCCTTGCCCACCTACCTGGAGTGGGGGCTCCTCATCCCGCAGGAAGACCTGGCGCTTCTTGGCGATGGTGGTGGTGCGGTAGAAGTCGACCAGCTCGTTGAGGGAGTTGAACTTCTCCTCCCACAGGAAGTACTTGCCCGAGGCTTCACGCAGCACCTTGAAGTGCTGCACCTGGTCCCCGTAGCTGGAGGGGAGGACCCATGGTCACTGGGATGGGCCCACGGCCAGGGACCACTCCAGCCCAGCCCTGGCCTCCCCTTCTCGCCCTGGGACCAGCCTTTCTCTTTCCGGGTGAGACCTGGGCTCAGAAGGGCAGGAGGGAGGACAGGCCGGGCCTCCCGCCCAGGCTCCATGTGAGACCTCGTGAGGCCGCTAAGGGGTGGACCCTGGGCCAGGCACTTCCTTGCGGTGTGACTTGAGGCAAATCACTTCTCTGAACCTCAGTTTCCTCACAGCGCCTCCTCCCTCTGTTCAGTGCTCAGAAAATGCCGACTGTGGCTCATGGCAACAGGAAATAGGTTTCTCTGGGGGCATTTTCTCTGTTTGTTAATCCTCAGCTGAGGATAGTTTTTCTGTGGATTTTAAGAGAGAGTGGGAGGGAGTCTAGAGACAGAAACATCGATGTGAGAGACACATCGATTGGTTGCCTCCAGAATGCACCCCGACCTGGGCTGGAGATTGAGCATGCAACCGAGGTACATGCTCTTGACTGGAATCAAACCGGTGCTCCGGCGCTCTAACCACTGCGCCCCTCGGGTCGCTAGGGCCATTTCCTCTCTTAACACCCCCCTCAGCCTTCCCTTCTCCTCCTGCTGCGTCCCCTCCTGGCTCTTGCAGTCACTTGAGGAGCAAATCCTCAGGCCGCCCTGACTCAGGCCTATGCCTGTGGGTGGGAGGGGAGCCTAGGCACGTTGGATGCTTCTGTCCCTCCCACCCACACCCACCTCGAGGACCTTCTATGGAATATACGAGTATGAGGACAGCAGGTTTGACTTTGGGTGGTGGGCACACAGTGCAATATACAGATCTTTGTAACATAGAAACCTGCCCTTAAAACCTATGTTCATGTTGACTAATGTCGCCCCAATCAGTCCTATATAACAAAAGCATAACATGCAAATCGACCGGACGGCCGAACAGCGGAAAGACCATCCAGACAACCATCCGGGACCACGCTATGACACCCACTGGCCCCAGGCCAGCCAAGGAGGGTGCGATGTGATTGGTCGGGGGCCCGGCCATCGCCCATGATCACCCTGCAGAGGGAGGCTCGGGCCACTGGCCAGCGGGGCGATCCATCAGGGGGCTCCACGATCACCCCAAAGAGGGAGGCCCAGGCCACCCACCGGTGGGCTGCCATGGGTGGCGGGTGGGCAGAGCCTCCCTCTGCGAGGGAAGCCTGCGTCCCGGGTGCCAGAGGGAAGCCGGTGCCGGCAGCCAGGGGAAGGAAGGCCTACTCTTGCACGACTTTCATGCATTGGGCCTCTAGTCTACACTAATAAAAGAGAAAAATGGTAATTGGCGTACGACCGCTACCCTTCCCATCGGCTAATCAGCATATCCTTATGCAAATTAACTGTCAGCCAAGATGGCGGCCGGCAGCCAGGCAGCTGGAAGCGAACATGAGGCTTGCTTGCTCCAGGGACTGCAGACTCCAACGTTCCCAGCCTGCCGCTGCCGGCCTCTGAGCTGGCAGTTTGAAACAGTCTAACAAATATAGGCCGGGATCTCAGAGCTGAAGTTATACATTGTTTCGATTATAGAACGGCAAACAAACCAGCAGCGGAAGCCTCAGAGCTAGAGCCAGAGCTAAAGCTGGCCCAGAAGAAAAAAAAAAAAAGAAAAAAAGGAGCGGTTGGGAGCTTCAATCAACAACCGCCAGCCTGAAAGCAGCCCTCAGCCCCTCACCCAGACTGGCCAGGCACCCCAGTGGGGACCCCCACCCTGAAGGGTGTGTGACCAGCTGCAAACAGCCATCATCCCCTCATCCAGGCTGGCCAGGCACCCCAGTGGGGACCCCCACCCTGATCCAGGACACATTTCAGGGCAAACCAGCCGGCCCCCAGGCCTCTATCCTATATAGTAAAAGGGTAATATGCCTCCCAGCACCGGGATCAGCGGAACCGCAAGGCCTCCTGGCACCGGATCAGCGTGACAGGGGGCAGCGCCCAAACCCCCTGATCGCCCTGAGGCTCTGTGTGTGACAGGGTGCAGCGCCCCAAGCCCCCCCCCCCCACAGGCCCTGCTCTGTGTGTGATGGGGTAGAGCCATAACCTCCCCATCGGCCCTGCCCTGAGTGTGACAGTGGCGGCGCCCCAACCCCCTGATCGGCCCTGCTCTGTGAGTGACAGGGGGCAGCACCCCAACCCCCTGATTGGCCCTGCTCTGTGCATCACAGAGGGTGGCGCCGCAACCTCCCCATTGACCCTGCCTTGAGTGTGATAGGGGGCGGTGCCCCAACCCCCCAATCGGCCCTACCCTGAGCGTGACTGAGGGTGGCATCGCAACCTCCCAATCCGCCCTGCTCTGTGCATGACAGGGGGCAGCACCCCAACTCCCCAATCGGCCCTGCTCTGAGCCGGACCAGGGGCTGCACCTAGGGATTGGGCCTGCCCTCTGCCACCCAGAAGCAGGCCTAAGCCAGCAGGTCGTTATCTCCTGAGGGGTCCCAGACTGCGAGAGGGCACAGGCCGGGCTGAGGGACCCCCCCTTGCCCCCAGAGTGCACAAATTTTTGTGCACCGGGCCTCTAGTCTATATATATAAAAGGCTAAGCGACCCTCCGACCGCCAGACCGGTAGCTATGACGCACAATGACCACCAGGGGGCAGACACTCAACGCAGGAGCTGCCGAGAACCTGAGAAGCACCCTCTCGCTATCCAGGACCCCTCGGGGGATGTTGGAGAGCCAGTTTCAGCCCAATCCCCGCAGGTTAGGACGAGGGACCCCACCGGTGCACAAATCCGTGCACCAGGCCTCTAGTTTAATAATTAAAAGAAAGAACCTCCCATGGCTCCCCATTGCCCTTGGGACAAACTCTTAACACCAGAGACTCAATACTAGGCTCTAACTGCATGTCCGGCCTCTTTCCTTCTATAATCTCTGATGCAATCAGCGGCCCCTTCTCGCCCCCCTGCCCTTGCCCAGCCCCCCAGCCCAAGCCTGGCCACCCCATCCTCTCACACGCCTTCTCGCTCAGTGAGGAGACCGCCTGCCTCTCCCAACCGGCCAGAGGGGAGGAGCCTGCTCCGCCTGGCCTGACCCGAGGGACCTGCTCAGGGCCTTCCCACTCGCTGCATATTCAGGCCAGGACAGGACATGCCGGTGGAGGCCAGGTGAGATGCCAGATGGGTCAGGATGGTGGGGAGCAAGTCACCGCGCTTCTCCTCCCTGCTGCAGGTGGCCAGGCTCTCATGGTGGGGAGGAGCAAATAGGGCCCTTTTTACTGTGAGGAAACCAAGGCCCTGAGTGCAGCCAGCACCTGGCCAGAGCCGGGCCCCATCTGCGCTCCTACGTGTCTCTGTGAAGTGCCCCCGACTGGTCATCACTGTACAACAGCAGCAATAATGCTGGTCCCACTTGTGGTAATCATGTCCCAGATCTTGTCATTCCACGTCCAGAGCTACTCCTCCACGTCGTACCTGGGCTATGGCCCCAGGAGGCTCGCCCTCTGTCCTCTCCGCCTGGCCAGGCGGGGCCCCCTCCCTCCTCCACACCCAGCTCCACTGGCTTACACCCAGCTCACTGCTCTGGGCCTCGGGTCCTCCCCTGCAACATGGAGGGGGCGCTGAGGCACCCCCCACAGTGCACGGGGGACCTGGGACTCCTGGCTGTGCAGGTGCCACCCCCAGGGCGGCCCCGAGGGACTTCTGGGCACGGCCAGGTGTGTGCACTGGGCAGGGGTGGCCCCTGGGAGGGAGATAGGTTATCATTTTGTTTGCGACTAAATGAGAACTAAATACCGGTCTGGAAACTCGATAATAAAAAGAAAAAAACACCTTGGGTTCTAAATTTCAATTTTGTTAAACGATTTTGGACACAGCGCACTGACAAGCCGGGTGGCCCTCGGCCTGGGTCTGTCCAGGCGGCCCACACGCCGGGGTCTCAGGCCGAACGGGAGCGCATGTCAGTCCCGCGCTGCCAGCCTGCTCTCTGCCCACCCTGCCTGCTGCTCGCCTCCCCGGCACCCTGGTGGCTGCTGTGTTAGGTTTGAGATTTAAGATGAAGAGTTGTTTAAGGTGAATGCCCCGTGGTGTGGGGGGCAGAGGGCAGAGTGGGATCCCCGACCTGCCCAAGTCAAGGGTCCAAACTACGCAGCACCTCTCTCTCCACCTGGACACACACCTCCAGGCCTCTGCACATTCTATCCAGTCCCTCCACATTCTTCTGCAGCCAAACGTCTACTCCTTCGTCAAGGCCCAGGTGAACGGGCCCACCCTCTGGGAGCTGCTCAGCCCGTTGGAGGCAGGCTTTGTGGGCTCCTCGGCCCCTGCACAGCCTTGTAACCAACTGCTTCTAGGCCCCCCACTAGCCACCTAGACAGCCCAAGGGGGTCAGTCCCCGAGGGTCAGCCCCGCTGAGAGCTGCTGGACTCAGGCAATGGCCTGTCAGCCCCAGGCTGGAGCCCCAGGGTGCTCTGAGCTGTGGCTCCGGCCTCCAGGCGCCCAGCCCCTGACGCAGGCCCAGCCCCCAGGCTTGTGTACAGCCCAGAGCGAATCCGTCCCACCACAGAACTGAGGCCAAAACGCTGAGGCTCTGATCATGGCGAGCAATGGCCCCGAACCCAAGACAAGGCCACCTGTGGGCCATCGGCAAGCACTGCTCCAGGTGCCGAGGCTGCTCGCGTGTGGGCTGCGGGCACACCTGTTCGCGTCCCTGGGATGGGAGGGGGCGCGTGGACAGGGCTCCTGCCTGTCTGACCTGCAGCTGCCGAGGCCACACCCTCCCTGGAGCAGCGGCCGCGGTGACTTCCCGGCGTCCTGTCCCTCTCGGTGATGGTTCCGGCCCTGGTGCATGGCTATGGTGCACGGAGCAGTGTCAGCCAAGCAGCAGAGTGAGGACGCCAGCGCCAGGCGGCGAGGAGCCAGGGAAGAGGCCTGGGCTCAGGCCTGAGGCGCTGGCAGAGGCAGAGCCGCGGAGCTGCGTGCGGGAGGCGCCGGGGTCCTCTCCTCCAGGTGAGGGCAG